GCCGGTTCATCCTCTCTCTTCTGATCTCCATACCAAGTATTTTCCTAGCAGCCCCCATATCCTTCATCTCAAACTCTTTACCAAGTTGAGATTTCAACTTATCTATCTCCACCTTGCTTTTCGAAGCGATAAGCATGTCATCCACATATAGAAGGAGATAGATATAGTTACCTCCCCGAAGTTTCCGAATATAAACACAACAGTCATACTCACTTCTGGAGAAATCATGCTTTAGCATGAAGGAGATTGCTTCAATCCATATAGTGATTTTCTCAAGCGACATACCTGACGTTCCTTATCCTCAACCTTGTAGCCATCAGGTTGATGCATATAGATCTCCTCATCCAAGTCCCCGTGCAAGAAGACGGTTTTGACATCAAGTTGTTCCAGCTCAAGATCATGATGAGCAACAATACTTAATAGCACCCGAATGGAAGTGTGCTTGACCACAAGAGAAAAGAACTCATTGTAGTCAACTCATTCTCTTTGTGCAAACCCCTTAGCCACTAACCTCGCTTTGAATCTTGTCCCACCGAGCTTGGTAGGATCCTCCTTCTTTTTATACAACCACTTGCAACCAATAGCTTTCTTACCTATGGGCAATGGGACAACCTCCCATGTTTGGTTCTTGTGAAGTGATTCCATCTCTTCTTCCATTGCCGCCAACCAACTCTCGCTATTATTGTTTAAAATAGCTTCCTTGAAAGTGGTAGGCTCATCATCCTCCATCGAGAGTGCATACTCAACCAAATTTGTCTTCCCATAGTGTCTCAAAGGCTCGTCTGACCCCAACTTTAGAACTTGCTTATAAGTACGGCGTGGCCTAGAGGAAGCCAAGTTATCTGCAAGCTGTTGTTGTTGCTGTGCCTGTACATTCTCTTGCTGAATCGCCTCTTGTTCAAGTGCATCATCACTCTCATCTTGAGTGTCTGTTTGATGCTCCTCTTGAACATGCCTAGAATCAGGTTGATCTCTAGGTTCTATGTCAACAACTTGAGACATTGTAGTCTCAACATCATCACCACCGGGCACTGTAGCTTTCAACGAAGCTACCATGGAGTTCTCATCAAAAGTAACATCTCTGCTGATTATAAACTTAGAATCCTCTAAGCACCAAAGGCGATAGCCTTTAACACCTGTCGCATACCCCAAGAATATAGCCTTCTTGGCCCTTGCATCAAGTTTTCCCTCGTTGACATGATAGTAGGCTGTGCATCCGAAGGTTCTGAGTTTCTCATAATCTGCATGTTCTCCTGTTAATACCCTATAAGGTACATCTCCATCTAACCTTGAATGTGGAGACCGGTTCACAATATAGCAAGCATTTGCAACCGACTCTGCCCACCATTCTCTACCCAAACCAGCATAGGATCGCATACACATCGATTTCTCTCGAAATGTACGATTCAATCTTTCCGCGACCCCATTCTGTTGCGGTGTATTTCTTACTGTCCAGTGTCTCACAATGCCTTCTTTACCACAGAACTCCTTGAAAGCACCATCTGTATACTCAGTACCGTTATCAGATCTCAGTGTCTTCAATTTCTTTCCAGTTCTGTTTTCAACCATTGCTTTCCACTTCTTGAAGGTGTCGAATACCTCATTCTTATGCTTCAAAAAATAAATCCAAGCATATCTAGAATAATCATCAACAAATGTAACAAAGTACCTGGAACCGCCTTTGGAAGT